AAGATTTAACATTAGTGAGGTTGACTGTGTACCACAGCTTGGGTGGCTTGAAGAACAGTATGGTTGGGGCTAGGGCTGGGGCTCAGTGGTATAGCACTCGCCTTGCTTATGTGAAGCACTGCGTTTGATCCTCAGCACCACATAAAAATAAATAAATACAAAATAAAGTATATATATATATGAACAGCATAGTTGAGTTTTGGTGAGGGCTCTCTTCCTGCTTTGCAGATGGCTGCCTTCTCCCTGTGTCCTCACATAGGAGGGGGGTGGAGAGATCCCTTTCTCTTCCTCTACTTATAATGCCACAATTCTATTGTATTAAGATCCTAACCTCATGACCTTCATTTAACCTTAACTAACTCCTCAAATTCCCACCTCCAGTTACAATCATATTGGTAGTTGGAACTTTAACCTTCAAATTTTGGAGAGACACACAATTCAATCCATAGCAGATGGCTATGTGTTTTATAGTTATTATTGCATGGGTTCAGTGCATGTCTTTGTCTCTCAACAGATCTGCATGTTGCTTGCACACTTACTTAGGTCTGTGACGCTGTTTAAGGAACAGTTGGCTGTGCACCTCTTTTCCTCTCCCAACAAAACTGAGTTATCTCCACACAAAAGTGCATTTCAATTACACTTTTGCTGTGTCTTCTCTAATATGTTATGTCTGTTCTTAGCACAGAGCCTTGCACATGATGAGACTTATTCTCAACTGATGGTTATTTCATACTGAGGGTAGAAGAAATCTTTGCATTTTTTCCTGGCCTACTGATGTTTGTGTATTTTAATTAAAAATGATCAGGAGGTTTAAATTTTCTTAACTTTTCTTCAAAAATGCAGAACAGAGGAAGCATGGGGAAGATTTTGTGGTAGAATCTTAAAGGATCCTTCAAAAGCCCATACACTCAAGGTTTGGTCACCAGCCTGTGGAGCTATCGGGAAGTGGTAGAACCTGAGAAGTAGGGCCCAGAGGAAGGACACTAGTACTTGCAAGTGTGACCTTAAAGGGGCTAGGGGCACTTGGTCTCAAAACAAGGGAGCCAGTCAACTCTGAACTGAAACCTCTGAAACTGTGAGTCAAAATAAACACTTCCTCCTTTTAAGTTGTCTTCCTCAGGTATATTGTCACCTCAATGGAAAGCTAACAAACACGGTATAAATTAGTACAACCCCCTTGGGAAGAAATTTGGTCAAATTATCTAAATTGAAAAGGCATTTACCCTTGAACTGAGTAACTGCTAGTCTAGAATTGAACCCTACAGTCTTTTATAACATGTGCAAACTGTTATACACTCAAGGTCATTCACTAATGTATTGTTTATAACAATAACATTGAAAGCAACAGAAAAAATAACAAATAAATTACACATCACACAATTGAATGTTACTCAGCAGCTAGTAAGATGGAGGCAGAGCTGCCGATTTGGAAAGATCTTCAAATTAAGTAATGTGTAGAAGATACTACTGTTTGTCAAAAATATATGTATCCAATAATATATGTATATATATTCATAAATATATGTATCTAATAATTTGCTTGATGTTCACAGAGGATCTCTAGAAGGACACCCAAGAAATGATACAGGGTTTGCTTTTGAGAAAGAAAGCATAAAAGGAAACTTATTTTTCACTGTGCACCCTGCTTGATATACACTGCAAATTTTCTATGTGCATATAATCTATTCAGAAAAGTAAATTAAATCGAGAGATGATTCTTTGCTGTTATCTTTTTTTCACTCTCATTTAGGGTCTTACCAAAAATTCTGAATTAATAAGTTTGCCTTTTCTTTCTTCTAACAGCCTCCAAATCTGTCCCATGGAGCTAAGGTCAGACTCCTCTTCCATGATATTGAGCAAAGTTGTAGGTCACTCTTCTGCTGGTGACCTTATTAATTGGGTTTAGACCACAAGAGAATTTGAACAACTTTTTTTTTTAATGAAACATTCAGAATCCCTTTGCCCTCTTTAGTTCTTCTCCTCCAAGATGTCAAGAAAAGTGTCTTCAGTCAGATTTACAAATGCCATAAACTGGTTGTCAAACTGAAAGGAGAAGGAAACTTGGGGGATGTTACTTGAATTGTAAATGAGGAGAGTAAGTTCTATCTAATATGTGCCCTAGATTTGTAACAAGCAGATTTCAAGAAGTAAGTACTGGTCTCAGTGGCCTGAGGGCCTAGAGTATTTGGAGATGATCAAAAGTAAAATTTAATAATATAGTCAAAAGTAAGCCATGGAAGAAATAAATAAGAGTATTTCTCAAATTTCCCATGGTCATCTGCCAAAGATGGAAGGGAAACATAGGACATAGAAGGCACAACATGGACACATGTCATTTTGAGGATATCAGTGAAAAAGGCTGAAACCTAAGTTTGCAAAAATTTGCATTGGACTTTTACAAGTGTTTTAAAAGGCACAGTTTAGAATGGAGTGGATTAGATGGTCCTGCTTTATAGCTAATAAAGAGAAAACAAAACCAGGAATATTTTTAAACATATTTTTAGTTGTAGATGAACACAATACCTTCATTTTGTTTATTTATTTTTATGTGGTGCTGAGGATCGAACCCAGTGCCTCACATGTGCGAGGCAAGTGCTCTACCTCTGAGCCACAACCCCAGCCCCACAAAACCAGGAATTTGGTGATTTATTCCAGCCCATTCATTTTACTAAGACACACTGTAGGCAGAGCCTAGGATTAAATACCCAAGTCCCTTGCTGGGTCTGCTCACCACCTGGTATTCTTAACAGTCTCTGATTCTGGAAGCAGACCAGCTGGATTCAGTCACAGCTTTGCTGCCTGTGAACTGGATGACTGTGGGCAAGTTACTTAAACTTTAATGCTCATCTTTCAAATGGGGTTGATACTAACAACCATACCTGGTATGGTTGTTATGGGGATTACAAATCACTTCAAGATCTGGTGCACAGAAAATGTTATACAAATGCCAACCGTAATATTAATGATTATTGATACTTCCAATGTCTGCAACAAGGAGAATCATTTTAAGTGGGAAGGAACACAACCAATGTGGGAGGAGTCTGCATTGCAATATGCAAGTGCCACATGAGGTCTGATATAAGAAATTGCTTTCTCATGAAGAGAGCTGTCCGATAACTTTTGTCTGGTGGTAGGTAAGAATTCTTAGGCACAGGTGAATTCAAACAGAGGTGACATGACCTGCCAAGGATGCTGAAAGCTGATTCCTGGGTAGAGTAGAGGCAGGGTTCAGATAACCTCTAGGGGGTCTCTGATAATTCTAATGAATCCAGTGAATTTAGGATGGATTCTATGACCTTCTACACTGGCTGCCCTGGGGTCACTGCATCGTCCAGTTTCCCTGCCTAGTTTCTTCTTGGAACTGAAGAGCACAGTTTAGTCTGGACTCTCCTGCATCAATTCTATGCAAAGAGACAAACTTTGGTGTCACAGCTAAGACTTCCAAATACTCAAGTTGGAGTGGACTTTGAATTTATCTGTGGGCCGTGGCACACTGAAAAGGCTAGCAGAGAAGGAAACAAAACCTAGTGTTGCTAACAAGATTAGGCTCATTGCAAGCCTTCTAGCCATGGGATACTGAGGAGAACCTCAGTTAACAATGTCTCTTTCCTTTGTACCAATTGGCAGGTTAACAAGGGCGAGGACACCAGTAGAGCCTTGGCTATGCTGCCGGGTGGGGCGGGACCGCACCTGATCTTCTCTGCCTACAACCGCAGTCTCCCTCTGCGGGGCACTTCCTGGAGCCTTTGATCTTTCCCCAGGAACTGGCAAGGGCCGCTTTCCCCTTGTAGTTTTTTCCTCTTGGTTTATTTATTCTATCTCTTTTCTCTTCACTGATAGGAGGTCAGAATGCAAGTATGCAATAGAACTTGTGTACCCAGTCTCCCCTCTCGGGTCAGTACTGCGAAACTGCAAAAGGCGCACTTCAGTGAGTCCTGGGGCAGTAAAACTAGAGGAGGGGAAGGGGTCTTTCTCCTTCCCGGGAGCCAATCCTGGAACCAGGATCCCGGGATCAGTGACCACGACCCCGCTCGGGTACCCAACCTCAGCCGGGCCAGCGAGTGCGCCCTTCCAGGGGCTGAGCATGCGTCTCTGTCCAGGATTACCCTGGAGTTTTATCTCCTCCCTTGGAGGGTCTCAAGTTGCCAACCCTGCTGTGAGGGCACCCTGCTCCCCTGCGCGGGGCCCTAATCTCCACCCGGCGTTTCCGTCTGAGAGGCCGGGCCCCAGCTCTCCATCTGCGCATCTTAAATCCCATTTATCTTCTTAGAGTCGAGACCTTGCTGCCCCGCCTCCTCCCCCTCTTCTCCACTTGCAAATCACCCCGCCACTCTCATTCCCTCAAGTGCCCTGGACCAGCACGATCAATCTTTGAGGTGAGAGAAGTCGCTAAACTGGGTGGAAGCGACCTAGAGGGCGCGGCCGGAGGAGGGTCCAGCCAGGGAAGGGGGAGGCGCCCCGAGTTCGGGGTCAGGACCTCGGCAGAGGGTCCTAGACTTGTCATTCTCTAACTCTTGCCCTTGTGGCTCCAGTGGTTGAAGTCGGCCTTCCTGCACCCCCAATCTAAGTGGCCAGAGGGGAAGGGCTGAGCTGGGGGCAGCTAGAGGGGGTGAGGGGCGGGCTGTCTGCACCCGAGGTGGGCGAGGAGCGAATGGTTTCAAGGCCTGCCCAGTCTCACTTCCACTCGATTGTAATTCCATCCCGGGGCGGGTCGACCTTCCCTCCCACTGGCGGCCAGTCTGTCCCTCCCATCGGCCTCCACCGTCCCCCCTCTGCTTCCCCAAGCCCTGCTGCTCAAGCCGGCTTCACTCTCGCACGCCGACCTCCCGGCTGCTCTCCGGTTCCTTGGGCTCCCCCGTGGACTCCTCTGTGGTTCCTGGTCTCCCGCCTCCTCACCCCTGCCAAGGGATCCGCGGGTCCGCGAGCCCACGTCCCCCAGGAGACGCCCTTTTCCCTGAGCGTCTGGGACTTGGTGAAACTTTGCAGGCGCCGGCGGAGAAATGGATTCAATCCGAGGCGTCTTGCTCGGGCTCTTGCTCCTGGCTTCCAGCATCCGACCCGGCGCTCTGTCGCTTAGAGCTGCTCTCCGAAAACCAGGTAATTCACACAGTCCGCCCAGGGGCACTCTGCCCCGAGCACCCCAGTCCTGGCCCTTGGCGAGGACGCAAAGCCCGCAACGCACAGCCTTTCTGTCCCCTGTCTAGCGCCAGTTTATCGAGCTTCAGCTCTGCCCGGGGCTAAGCAGACAGGAGCCTCGCCCTCCCCCTAGCCCAGGCGGTTCCAGGGATATTTGTTTGTTTAAAGAAATGATCTATTTTCCAGATCCAGGAGAGGTGGTGGGTTCTGTATTTGACCACAAAGACCTAAGAGTTGGGGTAGCGATCATGCTGTATCAATTAGAGGATTGCGACTGTGCAGAGGAGTCAAACAGCTCCTCCTGGGTCTCTAAACATCTTATTGAATTCATATTGCCTAGAGCCCAGCCATTTCCTGTTAAGTGTCTGAAGGTTTGCCTGGAGTGCCCCTGCACATCTCCGGTCCTGCCCACGCACTATGTAGGGATGCGCACTTTGCAGTTTGGATCCTCTATCGCCCTGGGGCTGTTTGTGCAGAAAGGAGCGCTCAGTGGGTTAATTCGATCCTGTTTTGAACTCCTGTCTTTGCTCTGGTGTTTCAACAAAGATGTATGCATTGTAGGCTATCACAAAGGACTGAGGAGAACTAGAAATCACAATAGCTTGCATTTCCTCAAGTTATATTGGTAAAAAGTCTTTATGTATGTTTATCTACTTCAATTTTGCCTGTGTTGTGAGATTATTCACAGTAGAACATTCTAAACAATAAAGTTTTAAGCATTGTTTCTGAATAACGATTTTCATTCTTCTTTGCTAGGACCATATTTAGAATTCTGAAAAAAATCTGTTTTTTCTTAGCTTACTTCGTAAACGAGGTTGTCTTATGGGATTAATTATATCTTATGAACAATGGAAAACAATATAACTTTATTTGAATGCAGTCTGCAAAACTCAAAGAAAGTGCAGTTTATCTTCACAAATGTTTCTGTAAGAAAGAGGCAAACCAGGGAAAATTTAGCAGAGGGCAAAGAAAATAATCCTGGCAGGTTCCCGTTTGGCTGCTTAAATATTTTCACTGCACAAGGATCTATCTGAAACGATGTGACTTGCCTCCCAGCTCTGGGAGAGTCCTGTCTTTAGGGTGTATCTGTGGTCGCTTGTGCTTTGCTACCTGCCTTAGGATCATTATCATATTCTACACCAGGCTTAAATTATGAGCTATTCCATTTCCACACGGTGCAATTCATTTTGGAGATAACAGCAACAGTCCAATGCAGTATTATATTAAATTGTTTTTCTTCCTGCATGCCCATATACACACTTCATGTATTTCAAAAAAGGCCTTCTTTCTAAATTTCTCCATAAGAGAACCACATCACCATCAAATCTGCAGGTGTGTGAAAACCATCTAGTCACAATTTTTCAACAATACAAAGTTGTATTTCTAACTCTGGTGTTTACAGTGTTCTTTTAAGAATAGATTTCAGTCCACGTAACTAGAATTCTAAAATATTTTACAAAAGACTGGTGTATAAATTGCACATATGGCTCACACTATTTTTCTTCCTTTCTTTCTACCTTGTTCATTAAGGGTCTCCTTCTGATATTCATGCCACAAATATGTTGACCTCTGGTTTTACTTGAAGCATAGATGGGTTTTGATAGTGGAAACTCTGCCTTTTGAGTATTGTTGGCATATTAAATACATCAAATTCAAGGTAGAAGGTGTGTTTAGACTAAGTTCAGCCCAGAAGAATTTTCTTATTACTTTATAATTTCATCCAGACAGTGACTTTCAGGTTGGAAAGCTGCTGAGATTAAAATGACAGCTACTTCATAAACTTCAGGGGACATTTTCCTCCTGGGCTCATTTACATCCCTTGGAAAGACTAGTTTTTGATCCGGAAAATTGGTCCAGATTAAAAACTGAATGTGCCCTGCTTGGTTGTAATGTGAACAGCAATGAGCTAATTTATAATCTTCCCCAGACACCAGTAAACCCTGCTGGTACCCCTATGGGAGCATCTCTGTACCTTGATGCCTCCATAGAAATTGGTCTATGTGTTGTACGTTGGAGGTAGGTGGCCACAGTGCCAGCATTCCAGAGCAGTCCTGTTTTGTTTGGAGAGCCTGCCCTATCTTTCCAGGTTGCTAAATCTACTTTTGATAAGTGTTGCTTTGTTGGAGAAGACTTATATTCACATTAACCCGAAAATTCTCCATCCCCACCCATCTTTGGTGAGAAAAAAAGCAGATAGCAGCTTCGGGTACAAACACCCTTTCCCTCCACCCCAAGACAGTACATCTTCTGGTACTGAACATAAGTAAATAAATCTCTACAGGTGCTATGACTCACAAGAAATGGCAGTTTTGAAAGTAAGTCAAATGAAACAATAGTAACTAACACTAATCAAGTGCTTGTTGCATTGTTCTGAGAATGTGACATACACTGATTTCTTTAGTCGACCTCATAGCCCTGGGAGATGGGCATTATCATCCCTGCTTTGCTGAAGGAAAATTGTGGCTTAGAGAGGTTAAAAACCTCACCCAAGGCCATAAAATTAGTCAGTGGTAGAATAGGAATTTAGGCTTTGGTATTCAGGGTCAGAAATTGAATTTAGAGCAGCTCTGTTCAGAGAGGTTTATAGATTATTTTGTAGTGTCTTCTTCCAGGCTGCAGATGGGCACTCCCAAGGTACAGTGCCCTGGAGCCCAGGTCAAGGACATTATCTCTCTTTGTGTGTGTGTGTGTGTGTGTTGGGGGGGGGGAGTGACTGGGTTGCTCTTAAATAAACATTTGCACATGGAACATTGCTAGGCCTCCAAAGGCATGCAATGTGGTACTGATGTGCGGTTTTAGAAGCCACTGGCTACCAACCTGATCCTTAAGGATCAGAAGGGTAGCCCTACAGGGTGATGACCAGCAGCTTGCTTTTCTTGTTGAACTCCTGTGACTGCACACAGGTTGGTGTCATTAGGCCTGCTCAGATCTCCATGCTGTAGGTAGGGTATAGATCTACTGTCTCTCCACAAGGTTCTGACAGTGCAGTTCTTAGAGCTGGTCCTGCTCACAAGGCCTAGAGGATCCACTAGAGTACCTGGGAGCCCTTGGAAAATTGGGAGGGCAGAAGGCTCTAAGTCTATACCATCACCATGATGTCTTTCCCCCAGGTCTTCATAGTGTAGAAACTCCATTTGTTGAAAAGCCATTCATTCCTTTTCAGACACAAATTCAAATCCAAGACCTGGAAGGAAGTGGATAAACCCTCATTTTGTAAGTGGGCTGAGGGGCATTTAGTGTCTTGCTTGAGTACAATCAGAAGCTGAACAGGGACTAATGCCTAAACCCCACTCTGCTGGTGGTCTCTAGTGTAGTGCTTCTCCCTTACCCTGAGTCCCACAAGTAAGTGCAAGGGTACTGTGGCATTTGTGGGGCAGAAGGAAGGGAAGAAGAAACTCAGACACCTGCTGGAACCAGCACACAATAAGCCATCTATATTCCCACAAGCAGATCAGAAACTCTTGTCTTTATTAACATCTTTTTTTGGGGGGAGGGTTAGATTTATAGTGGTATAATTTACATCTGGTAAAATTCATCCTTTTCAGGTATACAGTTTGATGAATTCCTACAAACATACACAGTAATGTAACCACCACCATAATAAAAATATATAGAACATTTCCATCACTTGAAAATATTCCCTTGTGTTCATTTCTAGAAAATTAACTCCCTCCCAGACCCTGGAAACCAGAGATCGATTTCTGTCCCTGTGGTTTTGCCTCTTCAGAATGTCATGGGTGGTATTTTCTTGTTTCACTTGGCATAATGCTTTGAAGATGCATCAGTGTCATTGCCCATAGGTAGTTTGTTCCTTTTCTATTGTTCAGTTTAACTTTTCTCTAGCAAAAGAGTCATGAACTGCTCCATGCTATTATTAATAAAGCTGCTACACACATGCAAGTCACATACTAGTCTTTGGGTGAATATGTTTTCATTTCTTTTGGAAAAATAAGCAGGAGTAGCATCATACCACCAGGTGTATGTAAAACTTGATAAGAAAACATCAAACTGTTTTCCAGAGTGGCTGTATCATTTTCTATTCCTATTCATTTTCTATTTCTATTCTGAATCTTCAATAGCGCTTAGAGTAGTTGGTTTTTTTTTTCAGTTTTACTTGAGCTATTTCTAATAGATGCATATTGAGATCACAGTTTTAATTTGTATTTCCTTAACAACTAATGATATTGAATACTTTTTTTCACGTACGCATTTGCCATCCAAGTGTCCTTTGGTGAAATGACTGTTCCGATCAAGAAAAAATAAATAAATTTAATGTAATTTTTCTTTTTGAGAAGGGATCTCCCTGTGTTACCTCAAACTTGCAATCCTCATGCCTCAGCCTCCCAAGTAGCTGGATTATGGGTGTGGACCACTGCACCTTGTCTGTGTTCAAATCTTTTGCTGACTTTTTAAAAATGTCAGATGTTTGTTTTCTTATTATTGAATTCTGAGTGTTCTTTGTATATTCTGTATGCAGCTCCTTTATCAGATACATGTTTTACAAATATCAGCTTCTAATATGTGGCTTGTCTTTTTATTTTCTTAATGTTACCTTTCAGAAAGTTTGAATTTTGATAAAGTCCAATTTACTACTTTTTAAATGGCTCATACTCTTTTTTTGGAAGCTTAAGTCAGGGTTATAAAGATGTTTCCCTGTGTTTTATTCTAGAAGTTTTTTAGGTTTTTCCATTTAGGTTCATGATTCATTTTGAGTTAATTTTTGCACAAGGTTTGAGAGGTAAGTCAAGCTTAATTTTCTTGTGGGTGAATGCATCAGCATTATTTGCTAAACCCTGCTTGTCACTGAACACAGCGTCTCTGGCTTAAAAGGCTTCTGTGACTGCACACAGGTTGGTGTCATTAGGCCTGCTCAGATATCCATGCGGTAGGTAGGGTATAGATCTGCTGTCCCTCCACAAGTTTCTGACAGTGCAGTTCTTAGGGCTGGTCCCGCCCTGGCA